CTTGTAAGGGGAAGAGTTGAGTGGTCATTACAGGTTCCTTTAAAGTAAGATTAAACTCCAGCTTTGTAAGATTAAAAGATAAATCTCTAACTCTGTTTCTAGAGGAATTCTGTGGCCGGGGTAAGGGAGAGTTTCAGCTGGTGAGTTGTTGCTGTACCTCCAGAGCCTGACAGCAAATTAAGATTCATGCTTTTCAGCAGCTTTTTTTTTTTTTTTTGGAAGTCACCAGTCAGCATACATTTTCTTGGCTGTCTTTGGTACAGTTTCCTTTGGTTTCATAAGGTGCACATCATAACATGAACGTTGTTGCCACATGAGCATCAGTAAATTTAACTGGAACAAAAACCCGACAAAGTCACCCCACCTCGCTTTTTATGTCGTCTTCATTCTGCACAAAAAACTCGTCCTGAGGTCCTGAGACTCGTCAGCGGCAGCCTGACACCTTAAGGCAAACTGAAAGGGGTGCCAGTTTGCTTTTCTGTGCTGTATTATGAAGTGCATTGAGCTAGTTCGGGTGTAGCTGAGCCAATCCCTGCCTGGAGGCAGCATCCTCCGCTGCAGGGCCACGTATCTGGGGCGAGAGCCTTGTCGGCCACCGCAGGTTTATCTGCTGCTGCCTGTGAGTCAACACCCCACGCTGGCACCCGGAAACAACCTCTAAATTACCTTTAAAGAAATCCCTGAGAGCAAGTCTGCGCACTGCTCTGGGCATCCTCCAGTCAGCATCGACGTTTTTTCACTCTCGCTTTTCTCGGCTGATTTCAGTGAGACGCTGCCCGTTAAACGCGGTGAGCCGAGCACCCGTGCCTACTCCAGCACCGCTCCCTTGGCCTTTACCGAGCGCAACAAAAACAAACTTGGTGCCTGCTCAGTGTCTTACGTTCACATGCTTGGGATTTATTGCAGCTGATTTCCTCAGGGACGAGAGCATGCATAGATAGCTCCTGCTGCTTAATTTTGACGCTCAGCCATTTCATCTGAGGAGCGCTGCAGAGAACAACTTGCATTGCTCTCTGCCTCCCCTCCTTCAGCCTGCTGCTTCTGATCTGCGACCTGGGAATCCCTTTTTTGCACAACATTGCAGACAGATAAAGTCAGCCTGAGGCAGAGTCCCAACACGGACATGTCAGCCCAAATGATGAGTATGTCAGAACGTTGATGATTCACAAAAACCTGCCGTGTGGGGCAGACTTAACATTTTTGGTGAGATATTTAATGATACACGTACAAGGAGACAGTTTGAGCTAAATACTCCTGTTTAACTTTGGGCTTTGAACCTTTGTTTTTTGAGCCTTAAAAGTATGTGCGCATAACTTTTTAGCCAAGGAATACGCATAAAGTTACATGGTGCTATGAATAACTTATTTGCTCAAGCTGAGGAAGCAAGCTGTTGTTCTAATATTCTGACATGAAGTGTGAGCTGTCAGTAGAAAATGGGAATTATGCTGTGAAAATCAATGAGCGCTCAAAATTCTGTACTAACACTACTTGACACAGCATTTTGCTTATAAACTACTTTTTGTGTTTCTGCGCAAGGCTTGATGATAAAGTAAGATAGAGTCATTGTGTCAATAACATACAAACTTGCTGTAACATGCTGATTATTTTAATTTCTTAAGACTGCCAGAGCACTTCAGGTAATTACAGAAAAAGAACAAAATAGTTTTACTCAAGAAGAACTGTAGTGCCATAATATGTAAATTGAATTGGAAAGAATATTGCTATTTCTAATAATGCAAGCATTTGGTAACAGAAATTCTGTTTCCAAGTGAGTATATGTGGGAGCCTCTTTCGTTTAAGGTTTGAATTATGAAGTCCAGTAGTGTTTTGAGTAAGTAGAGCTTGTCTTTTTAAGTTTTAGGGAACCCTCTAGGATGTCATTATAACGAAAGGGAGTTTTCTGTATTTGCATCAGGTTATTCTAATGTTGTGGTAATATATTACTACAATACTTTTAGTTATTGTGTCAGCAGTCTGAAAATGAGCCTGCTAGCCGAGAACATCTCCGTATTAACCTTGCCTCTGACAGCAAATCCTTTTGTGGATATAGGCAAGAAGCCAAATCTCTCTTCTGTTTCCTTTCTTCAAAAACAGTGGTTGTTACTAAGTGTTGTTTAATAACCTTGTAAGCTCTATGTGCCCAAAAGGATGAGCACAGCAGCACTGTGCTGTACGCCTGCAATGATCACTGCCAAGTAATGAACTGCTTGCAGTACTGACTTTTGACTTACCAAAGCCATTTGGCTCATGGAGGATGCATGCAGCTGATTTGAGGAATCAACAGTTTCAGCATGGAAATGAAGCAGAGTAAAGCCAAGTGGCACTGGCACTTTTAAAGCAGTTAAACAGAGCCAGGTGACCTAGGCAGCAGGGTGGAAGAAGTTTGTTGATTAGACGGCACTTGAAACATTGCAATTTGGCTGACTGGCATGACCTTTCTGCTTCATTTGGAAGAGGTGGTGTTTCTAAAAGGGGAGTAAAACCACCATTGCAAAGCACCATGCAAATGCCGTACTGTCTTGCAAGCTGCAGGACTCTGGAGCAGACAGTCTACAGGTGCACTCAGTTCAGAAAACTGCTGTGTCCTGATTACTCTTTATGTCCCAAAAACTAAAAGTCCATTTATATAGACAGTGTCCCTTGTCTGGCAGTGGCCCAGGCAAGCAGGAGCGTGTGCTTAGGGAAGGGTATGAACAGGGCAAGCTTGTCCTCATATGTCCCCAGACTACCTCAACAGCTTCCAACAATTTGTGCCTCAGGGACTCTCTGAGGTAGGAATAGCATCTTCCATGTCCATGAGGGAATTTCCCTCCATGAATTTGTCCATTTACTTTTTAAATTGCTAGCAAAATCCTGCAGTAGGGAGTCCTTTATCTTAATTACCCAACATTTTTGTTTGTTTTGAATTATTCTGGCTAGTTTCATTTGATGTCCCAGAGTTCCTGAATTTATCATCTCTAAGTTATTTCTGATTATGCAAACCCTGTCTTACAGCCCATGCCTCTTTTACCACCTGAAGAATCCCAGTCTGCTTAGTAGTTGATCACAGGCAAGCCATTTCGTATTTCTGATCATCCACGTTACTCTTCTCTGACCCTTCTGCAGCTTGCTACACTTCCAGAGATGGAGAGATCAAAAGTCCCCACAGTAGTTCAGAGCACTGAGCTGATGCATGTAAAAAGTAATGTCATTTGCATCTACAACTACACTCTGCTGCCTGGGTCACCTGTTTCACAGGAAGGTGGATGGCTTTTTCCCCCGAAGTCTCCAGCAGGCTACTTTTGGAGACAGGCTTCTTTGTGAGAGGGATTTATGCTCTGACCTCAATGGCAGTTTCTATGTCCTTATGGAGGGCTGGACTCTGAGGATCACAGCTAGGACTGGGGTCTTGTTTATTGTCTGGCTCGTGATAACTTACTTTCCTTCCCTGCCATGAATATTCTCTGAGACAACAAGCTGCTGCAGAACATGACCAGTTTTTCCCACTTTGAGGTTGTTCCTTCAGCTGCCAAGCATCAAATGACACACTGGAGGTGCATGTCTAAATACAGCCTTTTTTGCAAAGCTCTCAAATATATAATGTACTTATGTGAGGGCTGACGGTAAGAATTCTGAGTCGGATGGCGAGAATGAAGAAGGGATGAATGTGAGAAAGGGAGAGTGTGCTGAGAGGCGCCAAGGAAGGGAGGGCCGGCTGGAGCCAGGGCCTGGGCTCTGCCACTTTTGGGCCCCATCTGCTGGGCACAGCCTAGAGCAAGAGAGAAGTTCAGTGTCTGCAGTAGTGGGCTGAGGCCAAATGACTGGAGCATGTACTCCAAGCTAAGGCTTGGGTGACCTCTGTGCACACATCTATGGCATCTATGCTGTCATTTGTATTTTACGTGCGGGTATGTATAGCCCACCAGTTCTTATGATGCAGTACTGGAAGAAATGCAATTTCTAGATAGATAAATCCAGAATCTAGATTCTTCATGGAAGAGATCAACTGTGGGAATTTCTTCTGTGGGACGTGATCAGAAGAGCTAAGTAAAGAGAAAATGCAGGCAAAACATTGCCGCAATTGCAGCAATTTAAGATGCTGCAGTGCTAATGGAGGAAGCGTTCCAGATGGCTTTCCTGGGATCGAGCCCTGGAGGAGCCAGAGTGCCTTTGGGACCTGGCATAGAGCTCAGTCCAACTGCTGCATTGTCATTGGTATTCAGAGGCAGCATCAGTGATGGTGAACAGATAGACGTTACGGTGATGCTGCAGTCTCCGGATACCGTTAATGCTCTTGCTCTGACACTAGCAACCTGGGATTTGCTTTCAGTGTCAAAACAGGTTGGAATTAAGACTTCTCTTTGCTATATACAAAGTGATTTTTGGCTGTGTGCCTGTTCCCAAACCTTGCGTATCAGTACAAAGGAGAGGAAGTGGAATGCAGGAAGTGTCTGGGACACGGTGTCTGCAGTGATTAAGACAGAGGAAACACACAGGTCTCAATTTTCTGCTGTCCCATAGCTCTGAATGGGGTAGTCAGTAGCGCTCCCAGGTTCTCAGGGCTTGCCCTAGGATGATGCATTTACAAAATGGTGCAGAGAGATGAGTCTGATCTGTAGTGACCGGAAGCACCAACTGTCATACAGCAGGAGCATGCAAGGAGATGGACCATTCTGTAACCTGTCACAGAAAAATAAGGGATTTCTAGCTCCCCTTGGCAAAAACAAGTGCTGTGTCATTAATCACACGGAAATCCAAGGTATTGTAAAAGGTTCCTCTCGGCAACGGCCACTGAAGTTCTTAACGTTGTTATCGAAGCCGAGAAGCGCGTACCTATACTGACGCTGTCCACGTGATGCTGACAGCCTTCCTCCTTTTTCTAAATCTAGAGAGGGGAGCGGAGAGCTCTGAGACTTGGTTTCTTATAGGAAGAAGTGCAGTGCATGCTTTGCAGATATGTATTCCCTGATTTCAGTCCTACCAGGCGCAGAGTTTCTATCCATTTCTTCTTCCGTTTCCAGTGTCCAACAAACACCATTTTATGGACAGCAACTTGCTCTACCAATGCAGAATGAATTTCCGGCGGCGGCGACGATTAATGGAGCTACTCACAGAGAAATCTCGCTTGATGCTGGAAAGCCATGACAGCCCGTTTTGCCTACGCAAGCAGAACCATGACAACAGAAAACACACCAGTTTTCTCTCAGGTGGCTCCTCAGCTATATTCATGTCTGTAGAGTGACTCCATGGGATGTTCAGTGTTTACCTGCAGGAAGCAGCACAGAGTATCATGTATCTTACCTAGTTTGTAGGGGTTTCCCAGCCAGCTGACTTGTCTAATCACCAGCTATCTGTGGTGTTTCTGCTCGTGCATCAATAGCATTTTGGTTGTGTGGTTTCCCCCAAACAAAAATGGATGTCCATAAACAAACAGAACCAGATAAAATCCCCCCACGCCCCAAGTAATTTGTCATATACTCAATATTGTGCTTTGGAGAAGAGTCAATGTGAGGGGAGGGGTTCTGCAGTGTTTACTGTATGGCAGTGTCTAGCAAGAAATGGAAGACTAAAGGGGAAGGGAACGGAACGAAAAATGGAAAAATTTATTTCCATATATTGAAATGTCTCCTAGAAGATGCCATAATGAATGCAGCTGAGTCATCGGGTGAGCTGCAGTATTAGCATTGCCGTACAGAGACTCTTCTAAGTACCAATGAAAGCATGGATTATTGTTGCTATTTTAAAGAAACCAGGGAAATGTGGTTAATCATTAATACTAGTTCCCTTTCTCTCTGTCTTTTCTGTCTGCCTGCAGTGAGTCCCACCAAGGAGATAAAGATCGTGTCGGCAGTGAGGAGGAGCAGCATGAGTAGCTGTGGCAGCAGTGGGTACTTCAGCAGTAGCCCAACGCTCAGCAGCAGCCCCCCAGTACTGTGCAACCCCAAATCCGGTAAGCAGCAGCCATCGCTGGCGAGGCACAGGAGACAGGACGCAGACCTCTGTTTGGGGAGAAGGTGATGTGAAGGATTCCTAACATTGCATCTAAGTTTATCTTTTCAAGAATATATTAAAAATTCACGGAGTCATGGGTTTTTAAGGCCAGAGGGGACTATTACGATCATCTAGCCGGATGTCTTGCCAAATACAAACCAGAGGCTCGCCTCCAATAATCTCTGCATCAAGCCCATAATTGCGGTTTGAGCTGGAATTTATCTCTTAGGACGACATGCAGTCAGAGACCCAGATTTGCCTGTTCATTGCCAAGCACTGAACAGATTCAAATCTCCTCTTGGAGACATTCCTTCAGTCTAAGTCACAGGAGAATTTAACTATCCAGTGGCCACTTGAGTTACTAAGAAATAACACAACACAGAAAACGGCAGCACCTAAAAAAAAGAGGAAGCATTGTTTGAGCCTGTCAGAAACAATTTTAACATTTTAGTTTGTTTAGGTTTTAAAGCAGTCTGTAAGGAAGGTAAAAGCAGTGTTGAAGCTTATTTTCCTTTTGAAAAAGATTTCCTTTCCACACCGGAAGGTTAAACACACCCATTCTTCCACAGTTTAGTTAAAATTGTTTCTGACTGTACATCTGTGAAGGGGAAAACAGACTAGGAAAAATATTGTTTCAGCTACTGTATTTCCCTCAGAAAAAGCCCTGAATTTCAAAGCCAATTCAATACTGCTCTTTGTGGTCCTAATTTTTTTCATATTTAATATCAACTTACCAATTCTCTTCTGGATTTAGGGGCACAGAGAATTGATTGACAAGCGGTGATTTATGGGATTATTGTGTATTTGGAGGTGGGGGACATCTATGCCATGTGTGAGACACAAAGAAAGACTTCTTTGCCCTGCCTTAGCCCCGAGAGGGGAACGGGAATGCAGTGGCATTGTATGGGGCACCTGCAGTGCTGCTGTGCTACAGAGAGAGGCTCGGTGCTGGTGCTGGGCAGTAGCAGGGACAAGGTCAGGCACTTGGCTTTCAAAAGGATGCTGGCATGTAAAGCAATGACTAGAGATTAGTGCAGAATGACTGTCAGTAGCAGAGATGCAGCCATTGGTACACGTCCTTTCTTCCTGCTGTCAGCACATATCCTTCCCTCTCAGCTTTGATGGGAATTCAGTAGGAGGGTCGAAATTAGGATCACTTAAAGGCCTTAGTGTGACCGCATGACTAGACGCCGTAACTCCAGACACCGGACTTGCTGTGCAGCCGGGGGGAACGCTCTCTGTCCTGTTGGACGCTGCACGCTCTGAGCAAGCTGCTGGTCTGCGTTCAGCTCTGCGTTCTGCCGTTGAGCCTGCCCCTGTTTGCAGAATGCCGCAATGTCATGTTTTGGAAGGATACCTCTCAGGTAGTCTTCCTCTCAGGTATTCTCTCTATCTGATAGAGTTCGTGTGGTGAGCACTTTGGCCTCAGTACTTCATTAATTGTACATCATTAATTGGAATTAATTGTACCCTGGAAAAGTTTCCGAGACAGATAAAAGAGCATTTAGGTGCTGCCCATAAATGTCGGTGTTATCTTAAGTATGCCTACTATTCCATTCATTTATGGTTCTGATTATGTATGGAGCGTCACCCATGAATAGTGAGAACAGGTTTATTTTAATGCAGCTGGTTACACAGCACTGGATGAGAAAGAATAGGCTGATGTTGCCCTTGCATAAAATATTTCTCTTTTTTAACAAATGCTTCCTTAGGACTAGTTTTCAAACTGTGAACAGCTTTAACAGGCTCATGTTTTAAAGAAGACATCAGTGGACTTATAAACAGGCTTATTTTTAAGAATTAAACAATTACCAGAGAGCAGGGTACAGATCCACACATCATCTTGTACGGGTCAACATAAAGCTCTCCGAAGCAAACGTTCTGGGAGAACTCCGAACCTTCTGCTTGAGCATAAAGTATTTTTCAGTAAAGAGTTTCCTGATATCTGAAACCAGAACATGGAGGTGTACTGTACGCGAATAAACACAAGATGGGGAGATACTGTCCGATGAGTTCTGTTGCACGCAGACAGGTCCTGCCTTGACCAGTCTTGCAGAAAAACGAACAACAGCAACAACAAATTCTGAAGGTATAACGAAGGGAGGCTTGCAAGCGAGTCCTGTGTGGATGACTTACCTGTTTCTGATTTGTTAAATGAGTATAATCATTCAGGTTTTTAAGATGAACAGGCGTGCTCTGAGAAGTGTAACTCTGGCTTAATGACAGCTTGTCAAAATCCATGGGAAAGAAAAAAATATGTTGCTTTGTATTCTAGATTTCTCCCTACTCCTATGAATGTTTACAAGAAATTCACAACCGTCTTTTAGAATATCATCTGTGAGAAATTTTATCTTCCACCTGTGACTTAAAAGTCATCATCAAAAGACATCATCAAAAGTATTTACCGCTTAAAAAAAAAAACTTATAATTTTAAAGGTGAAGCAGGCAAATACAGTAACATGTATCTATCTGTGGCCCTGCATTTTGTGAAAGCATTTACAGACAGATAAAAAAATGGATGCAGAACAGTATCAGTTTGATTTGGCAGAACTTTACAGTTACTTAGCTCAGGGGAAAATTACTGTGCGGCACAGCAAGGCAATGGGGAATCACCTGCAGAAAATGGTATTTCCTTTGATGTAAAATCACAGTCCGCTCTACATGAACTGGACTGTGGCTGGATGAGATGGGGTTAAATGCCTTTGCCTACCGTTGCAGAAGTCTCTTTGCAGGGATAATTCCCGAATCCAGCCACAGGAACGTTGCGTGGCAGTTGTGCCACCTTCTTCCAGGGGCCCGGAAAACGCACTCCCCTCCCATCCCCAAGCAAAGCTCACATACATCAACGTTGGTGGAAAAAATATCTGGTTTCTGAAATGGCACAGAGTTGCTTCTCAGGTTGGGAAAAGGAAGGAAGGTTACCGAGTTTTTAAATTGTTACAGTCTGCAGTTTTCGTGTATGTAACATAACCTTTGGGCTTACGACAGAATTTTCTTGTTGCTTATTTCTGCGATTCAAAACGGATTGAGCTAGAATAGCAGGTAGCACTGAATATGCCCGGGGTGAGCCTGTAAGGAAAGCTGCTTCATGCCCGGACAGTCACTTGCTTCAACACTGGCCACAGAAACAGCCTTTTCTCCCGTTTGGGATGGTGATCAGTGAATCCTGATTGCAGGCATCAGCGTCTGTTGCCTAGATGCCTGGGTTTCTTAAAGACCTGAGCGTGGGTACTCAGTGTTACCCGGCAGTCTTTTTCTTGGCTCTGTTGCTACTTCTAAGCAGTCTGCAAGAACTGAAAGAGCGTATATGAAGCAAGACCAAAAAGACATTGTATCCTAGCATCCCATTTTAGAGCAGTTTATTATGAAAAACTCCAGAGGAATGCTTATACTGAATATTCATCTGTGTATCCTTACAGTATTAAAGAGACCAGTGACTGCTGATGAGCTCCTGATGCCTGGAGCCCCATACGTAAGAAAAACTTTCACGGTACGTTTCCAGTATTTCTCTTTATTTTCTGTGTGTCATGTGAGTTGCGTAAGATAGTCCAAACAGACATTTTCTGATGGGATAGCTAGAGCTTATTTGCATTTTCGAAGGCCTGTACTTTAACATCTCTGAGTCCGTTATCTGTACTCCCACCCATTTAGGGTCTGATTCTTCACTTGTTTATCCTGTCATTATACCAGTGTAGTACTGCTGAGTTAAATGGAACGTAAAATTACATAAATCTAACGATACTTGTATTATACAAACTTACTTGAGCTTTGTGCTTTTGATGATATTTGCACTGTAGGAGTGGATTGTTTATCTACTCAAACTCAAGTTTTCTATGTATGTTTACTCTTTCTAGTCTATGATGAGACAGAAATTTTGATTCATATTCAGTCTGAACAGAAGCCTTCCTGAAAGCACTTAAAGCATTGTTTTTACAGCCTCACAGATCAATGAAAAGAAGTTTGTCAAAAGCCAAAAGCCTTTCTTTACCAAAGAAAAGAAATCATTTTGTTGGTGTCTTCCTCCCTAAGTGGTGCAACAGCCTGGACGGAGGCTTTGATAAAAACACTGATCTTCACACAACTTCACTTACTGTGCGGCGAGGCATGTTAACTTAAACGTGTTAAAATTACGTCTTGAACCATGTAGATGTTTCCCCCCCTTGAATTTTGTGGAGATGGTCACGTCCCTCTTTTCTCTTTCGAGATTGTTGGCGATGCCGTTGGCTGGGGCTTCGTGGTGCGGGGCAGCAAGCCCTGCCACATCCAGGCCGTGGACCCCAGCGGGCCTGCAGCCGCAGCGGGAATGAAGGTAGGGCCTGGGGACACGGCAGCTCGCGGGGGTGCTCGTGTCGCTTGACGACTCTCTTGGGCTGATTATATACCGGGCAGTGAGATATGCGCTTGTGCTTGTTGGTGTCAAACGTCTTTCCCTCTGTTGCAGGCATTTCTAAGCAGCGAATTTGTCACCTTTTATTCTCCTCTTGTTTTTTTCCCTTTGCCCTTGAGCTTCTTTAAATCCCTTTTTCAGGTGAACCTCATCTGTTCTTCCGAATTGCTTTCTTGATCTTTCCTTTTGTTTTTTTGTGGGGTTTTTTTTGTTATTTTTCATCTCTTTTGAGCTCACAATTTCTAACCTCCTTCCTCTGTGTTTTGAAATTTGTTTGGTCATTGGTCTACAGCTTCTGTAGTTTGTATGTGAAGAGACAAAATCAGGCATGCCTGTTTCTGACTGAAGCTAGCATAACCTGCTCACTCTAAGGTGGTTAGGGTTCAAGACGTAGGTTTTGGAAAGAGGAACATATGCCACTTTTGTATTTCATAAAGAGTTAAAATACTTCTATACATGATTTAAGAATGAATAAATAAAAATTCCCTCTGAAGGTTTTTGTACTGCCAGTGCAGAGCCCTTTGACTCACCTGCTGCTCTGGATCAGGTCCTGCCTATATCTGCCAATTAATTCCTCTCCTGGAGAGCGAGGAAGCGTTATGCCAAGCGTGGATAAAAGTGAGAGCAGGTCCGGTGCTGGTGACCAGGGTCACCTGCAGCCAGCTCACACGCATGTCCACGGGGGCCGGGCTGGGATGCTGAGCCGGGTCAGGACTGGCGTCTTGCAGCATCTTGTAGCTCCAGGCCTGGGTTACAGCCACACGGTCCCGAGCTGGCCTTGAGCACAGGCAGCCAAACCCTTCAGAGGGCGACGGAGGCTGCAGAGCCTGCTCGTTCCCACCAGGGCTTGATGTGCCGCCTGCCGGAAAATGACTTTATTCCTTAGGAAACTGGAATTTTACATGCATGTTATACAATATGTATACATAATTTTATGATTTTGTATATGAAGAGTATCATTTCCAAGCAGTATTTCTCCCTAAAATTTGAAGGTCTTAATTTAATAATAGCGAATGTGTTCATGTCTGTATTCTGAATCCTGAGCTTGGGAGTTTAGTACTTTACAGCATCTTTTACTCTCTGAATATAGCAGCTAGCAATAAAGTAGATCTATTCTGAAACTTGACTTGTAAAAATAGCACTGTGTTGTCATATGCGTAATCTTAGAGATTTCACTTCTGAACTCAGCAGCTTAGAGCTAAGACTGTGGGGTTTTGCTTTGTTTTTAACTTTCAGTTTCATGCTGACAGCCCTGCAGTAGTATACTAGGAGGTTTGAGTTCCTCTGCGTTCCTTCATACTTCACCTCTGAAACAGGTTTTAGATACCAAATTATGTTCTTAGGTTTTCCGTTTGTGCTCTTAATGCACTCATGTAGCCTAGTGCGATTACACAAATTTACCTGAGCCATTCATGACATAAGAGTGTAGAAGACTCCACGGTCCTGAAGGAAGTAAACAGTATTTTAGCTACTAAAACTGGGGTGTATCGCTTTGAATTTGCGCGAAGGACAGAGCTGATTATTTGCAAAGGTGCTATCTTTACATAAAATCCCTTTTCAGAGCAGAACTGCACGTAAAATATTATGGCTACGTATATTAGAGAAGTTCCTATGTATACACCAAAACTGGTGTTCCATTTTCAGAAATGCTGATCGTCTTTAGCCTCTAGTGAAAATCTGTCAGTTTCCTTCAAAAATACAGTTTTTTTGTTGAGGGGTTCCCATGGCAATAGGTATGTAAATTGTCATGCAGTATGTGAAATTTTTTGAAAACCTGTGTCACTTAATCCATCTGTTTACAGAACTTTTCAATCTGGCCAATTTAAAGGAATTGTATGACACACTTTACAATGACAGCCGGTCAAAAATTAAACTTCCTCTATGTAAAAGCTGTGAGAAGGCTATTTTGAAAATAGGATATTAGGCATAGCAGCTTCTGGTGGAAAGAGAGGCCTGGACTGGTGTAAGAGGCTTTTGTCTGCCAGTGTTGCCCTGAGTACTACACCAAAGAAACTCTAACAAGGAAAGTTGGCTATGATGAAAAGGGCAAGAATTTGAAGAAGAGCCAACGCTTGGCGCTGCAGTTTGTAGAAAACGTCTTGGCAGTAGCAGTTGGGTTTTTCCTCCTAGGGGGTTGTATCTAGTGTAATCGTTTTGGGGAGTGTCTTTGTAAAGCTTGTGATTTTGCACTTCTCTCTGTTGGAGAGCGTTATATACCTGTCTTTGCATTGTGCCCGACAAATTGTTTGAGAGGACTACTGCCTACAATTTCATTTTAGGACTTCACTTTGTGCACTTAAAACTCTATTGTATATTATATAAAGGAGTAAATGTTATAGGATCAATCTACCTGAAGGGCTTTGTGCTGTCCTGCTTTGCGTTTGAGCTTGGCTGGGTTCCTAGCCTGCTCCAAAGCTCTGCGAATTGAGGTTCTCAGTAGAAATTTCAGTGAGGCTCACATTGCTGAATAGCTGACCACACACGGCGGTTGCATGGTCAGCACGCCATGCTGTGTCGCTGGGATGCACCAGTCTGCATAACACGCAAATCTTTGGCATGGCAGTGCTTGCCATCTCATTATACATAACATCCTCTCCTGGGAGAATTTTAAGGCAGTTTAATTCTGAGAAAATATGTACTAGTATAGTCTGCTGAGGTAGCGTGAAGAGGGTAATACGCTTGGAAGTTTAAGTCTTGATACCTCTTCTGGGCCTGTTAAGTACGATCACCGTTTACAGTTTGAGGTTTCACATTTGAAGCTGAACAAATAATTTAATAAATATATTGTCAGTTAGCTTTATTAAAGTATTTTTAGACCTGGTTTGTTGGAGTGCAGTTGCCTGCGACAGTGTTGCGAGTAGCATAATTGCTATGAGCACATTAACAAGCAGAAGCTGGAGGCAACGCAAGGGGTTTGTATGAAAGGAGCCAGCGTTGCAATACATACTTCTAAGTTATTTGTAGCTCTGTTTGCTATGTGCTGTTGTCAGCAAACTAAGACTGGAAGACAGAAGCAGTAGAGCTTTGAAGTTCCCAGCTTGCTTTAATATTCAGGATTGGCTGTCTGCAAAATTCAGGTGTCTGCCGATGACACCACTGAATATTGCCAGTTGGCAGAAAAACTCTTTTTATCCCTTCAGTGGTTTATTCTGCAAATTGATTTCTGTTTTTAAGGTACAGGTATTTTTTGAACAATTGCACAAATGGGCTTAATACTAGAGATTTAAATTACTATTACACATTGCTCTTGTTTTTCAGTGTGGTATCGCCACAACAGCGCATGAGAAACCTAGCAGATCTAGCTTAGTGTGAGGCCTGTGAGAAAGACAAATTAATCACTAAATGTCTGCTCTTGCCTTTGGTTGCGGAAGTCTTTGGAGAACGTTAAAGAACATCTGACTCCTTAGGTCGGTCGTCAGCAACTTAATATTTATCACTATTACACCTAAGGTCTTTCTGTCGGAAAAATTGTCAACAGTCGCTCCACCTTTTCTACCTGACTCTAGCTCCTCTTCGTTTCAATTGGCAGGAGGGACTTTTGGGACTATATAGTCACTGGTACCAGCCTCTTCTGATTTGAACACAGTTTGGGGCTTACGGCTTGCAGTTAGCGTCACCACAGCGCGGTTCTGCTCTCCTTGTGGTCGTCTTTACAAGGCGGCGGAGCGAGGAGGTCAGTCTCATAAATTTTCTCTCTGTGCCATGACCTCTTACATTCACAGATGACTATTTGAGGTCGGGGTTCTCAGATGATTTCAGCAGCAGAGTAAGAGCCAGATCCTGAGTGTAATTGAGTAGCCACTGTTTTGTGGAAAATATTGCTGTCAGCCTCCCTCCAGGTCATCAAGCCCAGTTTCCCTGCAATCAGAGGAAAACAGGACTAATACTCTGAGTATTAGTCCTCAGAGTCCAAATACTGCCACAGTCACAAAATATTACAAGCTCGCAACGTAGAGGACTAAAAGCTACACATTATACAGTGCCAAATGGGGGTTGAAAAATGAGCAAAGCATGTGAGGAATTGCCAATGTCTTAGATTCCTGCAACAGCAAGAAATTTGAACTGTAAAATTCTCAGGACGTTGAACGTAGCCCAAGCTGCAGAGAAGCACAAAACCCACTCCATGGTCCTGGCCAAGCAGACCTCAGAGAAAATTCCTTCCTTGCCCCAAACCTGGTGACTGCTTAACTGTTTGACAAGCAAGATGAACCAGCCTAAAAAGCCTGAAATATTTTTATTCCCCCAGGAACAAATATTTCATTTCTGGCCATGGCCCATCTCCAGTGTTTTACAGAATAGTGGGAAAAATAGAGGAGGTTGGGAATCACAAAGGAGAAAATTCTTCCTGACTCCTGAAGGCAACTAGCAGGAGGTTGAAGACTGGGATTTAAATTGTATAAATATGGCACAACAAACAAGCCTCCCTTTAAACTTCTCAATTAAACTTAGGGAAGGAGAACTATCCTATGTTTGGTGCTGGGCTTCTAACCCTTTAGGATACAAAATACCTCTTGGGAGATGACTTCAGTGCTCACTGAAGGTATCCAAAGGGTGCTGTCATTGTCTCATGCGACTGAGCTTTAAATGCGAAGATGAAGTAGATTTGACTAAATATTTATACTGTGCAATAGCATATGGTGTTGCTGAAGCAGATGCAGTTGAGTCTTAGAATTCTTATCTTACACCAACATGTTACTGATTGTAGAAAAGCATAAATTACATGAGTTGCCATCTGTTTTCAATTACGGCATGAAAACACTGAGGCAGGTTGATATTTTCCTTTGGTAGTGTTATCAGCTAGCTGCTGAATTTGATAATTACATTAGAGTGAATTCAGAATGAATGTATTTAGTAATGTGAACACTCAAAAAAGAGTTGCTGACTAACTGCTTTCCTAGCTTGTCCATAAATAGAGAAGCAGC